AGTAGCAGTAGTAGTAGCAGTACCCAGTGGTCGTCGTAGTTGTTTTATAGTGCAGTCGTACGGTAGTACAATCGAAGCAGCAGCGGCACCAGGTCACCTCAGACATGGAGTGGGCTCTCACCAGCGGCAAGATCGATTTCACAGTGATCAACGAGGTGCTGAGAGTACCGGGAATTGCTGTATCATGAAACCCTGCCTCCAGTCCTTAGGGTTTCGTCCTTTGCATGTGGCATTTGGCTGCACAGAAGAACAACTGTTGGTCTAGTGAGTCTAGTGGTTCCTCAGATCCTTGAATCTTTTCTACATTGCACAAACCACGACCCTGAGTCTGCGAGCAGCTTTGGTGTGCAGGACGTGGATGCCAGTATGAAGGAGATCGTCAAAGCATCAGAGCCATTTCCTCAGAGAGCACAAACAAAACAAGTAATTCAGCTAGCATCCTTGGCGGTGCCCTCAGAGCTTCTGAGACTCGAAGCTCCTTCATGAGAAATGTGCCTTGGCAGTTAAGTTTTCTTCGATCCAGGATCCAGGTCTAGCGTTCGCTCCACGACGGGGCAGCTGATCTCTCACTCGGAAAGCACCGGATTCCGATACATGCATGTTGATATGCTAGTTGCTCAACCCGCGCGATGGTCTCGACATATATCGACACTGACAGGTATTGCTTTGAAGACCCGTTCTGAAATGAAGGGGTTTATGCCAAGAAGGAGACGGAAAAAAATATAAATCAAATAAATGATGCATCTTTTAGCTTCCTTTTCATATAGAGGGTCAAAAGTATAATATCGAGATAATAATAGGGCTGGAAAATTGAAATAAGATACAGCTATAAAAAGATTATATACTCATTTCTATTTTAGTAAGAATGCTAAAAATCTTATTTTTTAGGGTTCAAACAAAATCGATATTACTATTATCTATTGAATAAATTGAAATTAATTTTCATAATTCTTTAGAATGAGGAAGAAATAGACAAATTTCATTCTTATTATATCAATAATTATTTTATAAAATAGTTTTTTCTATTGATATTGAAAGCTTATTAGATTCTTCTTTTATAAAATTATTGAAATATGAAATATATCATTTTGAATTTTGAAAATTTATATTAAAAATAAATTCTTATGAAATTCTACGATAAATTAGATTAATCTTTGAATTTTGATGAATTTATATTATATCTCATAACTAATTGATTATAATAAAAATATTTTTTCTATTTGATTTCGGTGAAAAGATTTTTTTTGATATTGCCTGCGAAGGTTGGAATTATTTCTTCGATTATATGTATAAGAAATTCTTATTATATTACATTGAAATAATTTAAAAAAGTTTCGCGCTCGAAATTCTTTTTTATTTATTCTTCTATTATTGGGAGAAATTCTTTAAAATAGATATTTGATTTCTTAAATAGATTATTTTATATTTTAGAAATTGCCCGCAATAATAAATGATTTTTTATGAATTCATGAATCGATGGGATTTTGAGAATTTCATAAATGAATTTTTTTTATTAATAATTCGCTTCTATTTAGATTCGATAAATTAATAGAAATCTATTATAATTTTTAAATTATTATCGATTATTATAGCTTTATTAATTTTCATATCAAATAAAAGATTAGGTTATAATCTATACTTATATATTCGATTTATTAAATTCCAAATTTGACAGATGCAAGCTCTAATTCTCGATCTATAGAATATCTTCAAAATTTTTATTTTTATTTTTCTACTAAATATATATTGAAAATTTATTTTTTTATTATATATATTTTAATATATTGAATTTTTTTGATTAATTTGAATTTTATAATATAAAAATAGTTTTGAAATTTTTTTAAAAATAATTAAATATAGAATAATAATAATATATATTCTTTTTTTTTCATTTGACTTGTCTTTGATTTCTTATTTATTCGTCTCTTTATAAAAATAATTCAATTTTATTCTTATATATTTATATAATTTATTAATTTTCTGATATATTATTTCTATATGATAATTGGGTAGTTGTCAAAATTATGGTCCCTTTTGGGGTACCCTAAATAATAGGTGCCGTATTAAAATAAGGTTCCAAAAAGGGACCATAATTTTGACAACCACCCAATTTGATTTAATAAATAAGCATGATAAGCATAGAATTATTTTTTATTAAGATAATTTATAATTCGCTTAAAAATAATATATGAATTCGATTAGATCATTTTCTCTATAGAAAATTTTTATTTTTTGAATGATCTAAGTTCAAATTATTATCGATATTTCTTATTCTGGATTGTATATATTCATTATGATTTTTATAATATATATTTAAAATATTATCTATTATAAAAATTTTGCAGCAAGATTTCAATCTCTTTTTGAAATAGCTATTCTAGATTATTAAGATATATGGTAAGGAAAAGATATTGCCCGATATAATAATTAATTATCCATATTTTTAAATAAATAAATTGATTGCTCGCTATAGTTCCCTTATATTTTTCTTATCTATATGAGGCCGTTGCCCTATAATTTCATATTTGAAAAATATATGAAAGAATTATTTATAAATCTCAGATTTTATTAAAATCGATTCGGACATCTAAAGATTTATTTCTAATCTTCTTGTTCGCCCTTAGCAGAATATCCTTCCAATTAAGCAGAAATAATTTTCGGGGCCAGTTCGAAAATCATTGCTTAAATATTTAGAATTCTGATTTAATATGCGACGACATATTTGAAATATTTTGGCCATATAATCGCTTCCCACTATTATTAA